ACATGATGAAAACTCCTTAATCTCACAACACATGGACAGATTCAACCATAGTTTCAACTGGAAAACTGTCAGCATCTTAGATCAAGCTAAATACAGAAACATGAGGGAATTCCTGAAAGCTTGGTATTCAGACAACTCAGCCATCAACAGGCACATAGAGATAAACAACATTTACACATCATTCAAAAGAGACAATAAAAAGGAAACAAAAAAAACCCAAGCACCTCCTGCCAGCAATCAGCACCCAGATAAACGGGGATTAACACCAGGATTAACACCAAACAAACAAGCAGTAAACAATACCCAATTCAAGGAACTACCAACTCAGATAAACAATCAGCAGTAAACAACAGCCTAATCAAAGAACAACCAAGGACAAAGCAACACCCCCACCATAGAATTGCACTCTAAGCATTGCTGCATTTAACATAATGGTAGGGATTTGGATCCAAACAAGCCCAGGATTATGATAGGATGTAAACAGAGGGATCTTTTAAAAATTACGATTTTCCACAAATTCATCTGATGATTCCTGCTTGACGCATTGTGGCAATTGGTATGCTGTTGTACAAATTATGAAAAGTGTGCTAGGGTGCTTTATTAGGTGCTGCTAAGTATTGCATTAAGGTTACTAAGCTGTTCAAGGATAGTGGAACGCATGACTCACATTTGCAGGCTTACCTTGTAACCGAAGAGTTCGGGATTTGAAGCCTATTTCTGAGAAAGTGTCAGGCAGCAATTTCATTGAGAGCTGGACACTTCTATTAAGTGTCTGCAGCAGGCTGTGTGGGAAAACTGCAGTGAGCATTTCTGCATTTTCTTTTGATCCCCGAGACCAAGCTGTGAGGGAGTGCGGAATTGTCTTTATTTTCAGATCACTGAAACTGTGCTCTAAACATACCAACTTTCTTTGCCAAGAAAAGCCTCATGGTGACTCTCTAAATATGTTAAATTAAGTATGTATGAGTGTGTGTATAAGTGTGTGTGTGTGTATCTATCAATCAGAGTTAATTCTACCGCTGTCTGCAGGTGACTGAATTATGCAGGTGACAGAAGCTGTTTTACCACTCAAATTTCATTTCGTCTCTAAGAACTGTAGTTGGGCTCTGAGTGAACTCATCCTGACAATTGAAGTCTGATTTTATTGTGGAGCTAGAACTGGAACTTTGAGGATAATCGTTCACGAAGGTATTTGCACATTCTTACAATGTCTAACCCACATGTTTATTGTTAAAATAATCCAGGAGTTGCCTGAATATTTAGGATAACAGTACTGTGTTCTGAAGAATGCAAATTAGCACACCTTTTGCACTGTTCTGTTCTGATTTGGATTGCAATTTGTATTCCTCTGTAAATAATAGGGTTGAACTCAGAGAGAAATGTGCACTTTGGGCTAAATACAACATATATACAGAAGATCTACAAAGTAGTAATATTGATTTTTAGAATTCATCTTCAAAAATGAGAGAGCGGATTTTTGTTTCTTTTGGCTACAAAGATTATGCTTCAAAATATGTAAATGAATTGTCTGAATTCAGAGGAGTGACTAAATAAATCTAAAGGTCAGAGTACAAGGCTGCTGTCCAGCTTAGTACCTTCTTTCTTCCTGTATCTAGCAAAGAAAAAATATATTACACGATCAACTGCAAATAAAGGAGACAAAATAGGAACGATTGCAAATGTATTAGATTTACATAATTTGCTAGATTTCCATGAATTATTTCATGTGCAGGCTATAGCATTATGAAAAGCAGTTGTTTAAGAGTTATGTTCTGGTACTTTTGGGTCACAACGACCAATATTATTATTGTTTGCCAGGGCTTAGCAAATTGGGCAAGCATTGCCTTTCTAACTTGAGCTAGAGAGAAGGGAACCGGCTATACCCAGTTGCAATACCCATTTTATGTAAAACTGCAGCTTGGGTGTAATTATAGTAATGATTAATCAATTAAGGAACTAAATAAAAAAAATAACTATTTTTTTCTGCTTACCAATAATGAACTATTCCTTTTAAATGCTTTTTTTCTATACAAGTTCTTAAAAAACCAACATCTGTTATTGTAGAACACCTTTTTCTTTTAAGGTGAAACCTACAAGATACATTGTGCATTGTTGATAAACAGAACTACCATGTTTAGCCTTTAACACGTTTAATTGATCAGCTTCTTTTTTAACCTGATAAGTTTGTAAAACCTAACCCAACACTTCTGTTCCTGTTTACATTTTCCTAAAAACGAACATATGATAGATGGCCCAGGGAGTTTGAGAAATGCATCATTGTGCTATGTATTTATGAAATAATGTTTCCATCTTAACTGGAAATTATTTCTATGCAAGATAAGCCACAAGTAATGGTTTATCAAGTATAGATGCCTGTTATGTCAGCAACCCCTTGGGTTGAAAGCAATGAAGTACAGGGGCAGTCTGTCAAGACACAGAAGAAGCAGGAAGAAGACACAATGGGTTTAAGCAAGGAACTGCACCATCATTCTGCCAGAGGATAACAGCTGCTCAATGTGGCTTCATTCTAGTTTTCAATAAATATTTTTATGTAGCTACTTCATGTTGTCTGAGAAACTTCAAGTTAAGCTATGTGACACTGGGGGACTGAGATTTACTGCTGAGTCCTGGATGGGGGAGGCCAACAATTTCCATTTTATATTTTCATGCAGCTTCATGCTCATATTGTTGCTTGATAACCTCATATAGGTGACCAGAATTACTGTGGGATAAACCGATTGATCAATGTTATCCCACAAGAACAGACCTCAATCAGACCTATCTAATCCAGCTTTCTGTTTCCATGGTGACCATGAAGCTGTCTATGAGATATCTATGAGATGGACAAGGGAACAATGGCCTTCTATTGTTTCTCAGGAACTAGTATTGATACGCATTTTGCCTTTGATATTGGAGGTATTATCAAAAGTCTTAGGGGTTGCTTTTCATCTGTGAATTTATCTGATCTTCTTTTAAAGCCATCTGGTGTTCATTGTTGCATTTTACAGCAGCAAATTCCATATGCCATATAAGGAATTGGTTTTGTCTGTCCAGAATCTCCCACTGTCCAACTTTGTTAAATATTCCTGGGTTCTAATGTTAAGGGAGAATGAGATAAAACTCCTCGCTATTCACTTTTCCCCTGCAGCATCTAATTTTATGCACCTCTATCATGTTCCTTCCTGCTTACAATTTTTTTTCTCAACATAAGTGCTCAAATATTTTTGCCTTTTATACTACAGGAGTTTGATCGTTTTATTGTCCTTGTTTTCTTACCATCACCAGCAATTCTGTATCGTTTTTGAGGTTTCACCAAAGCCAAAATATTAAACAGAACAGATAATTTCCCCACATAGTATGTGGCCTAGGCTTAATGATCTGTGCCTGTGATCACAGACTACATTTCTGTTTGTTTTCTGAGTTGACATTGTAGTGTGTTAGCAAGGCAGATTATCTGCTTGTAAAAGGTTGGAAGTTACTCCTATAAATGACCCATTTCTCCACAGTAGGTAGATCGTTATTCTAATTACTCAACTACACATTGGGTTGACTCATCTGGCTATGCTGAGACATGCCAGCACAAGTTGCAACTGCTTCCTTCTCCATGATGTTACACAGACTGATGCCCTCTGTAAATGTATAGTGTCTGATCCTGCCAAGAAGTCATATGAACATTCCTTAAAAACAACAGTGCTGTGCAGCTTTCAAAGTTTGAAGGGGAAAAGGTCATTTGGGGCATGCATGTACTGTACAGTATCAGATGTTGGCATCTCCTTAAACGTGTTTTTTCTTGGGATCATGCAGCATTTGTACAAGACACAGGATCTTTAAGGAGTTGCTGATGAGTGTTACATGAGCTCCCAAGTGTGCCCTGAATCACCTTTTCCCCTTCAGATGTGGATTGTTACACAAATTTAAGAAGTGGGACCTGTAACAAAATATTGCTCCTTCAAACCTTCTATCTTTGTAGTTCTGTCCCTTCTCCCCAGTTTTTCTCGTTTATCAAATGAGCGTACTGTGTCGACTAAGTATGTTTTATCCCTCTACCACCACTGACTGCCCAATGCTAATATTTATGACTTGATTGCCAACGTTGTTACGCCTACATTAGAGCACATGCTTGAAGACTTATTTGTTATACCATTATTACTGATTTGAATGTGGTTGGCTTGCTTTCTATTTCACCACATTTGCCAATATTTTGCTGGTTGATCTGGCTGGATGGAAAGTTTCTCTCTTGTATTTGGCCTTGAAAATCGATGATTCTGTGATTCAAAACAGCATTGGCCACATCTGATAGCTGTAGCAGGTTGCTTTTCTGAATTAAAACTGGAGGAAATGTTTTGTCTGTAAAACTCCTGAAATGTGTAGATGTGGGAAGTGGTTCAGAATTGGGCTTGCATATTAAATTGAGCTGAATTAAAGAGGTTCATGGAAGGAAGCCTCATCCCTATTCTTGTCCTTATCCTGTGCGATTTAGGTAGTTTCAGGGAAGGGATTACTGTATATAGGAAATGTTCTTATTTTAGGTGCTTTCCTCTAAGACACCAAGAATATGGCATATATATATACACTGATATCCACATTCCCCTCCCCACCCAGAATCATCTTCTGGGAAGGTAGCATGCTATGTACCAGAGCAGTAAGTTACCAGTAAGTTCTGGGTCTCACTTAGGCCTTCTTACAGGGCGAAAATGCAGCCTTGTGCATTATTTGGAAGTTGCCTAGCTGTGCCCCCCTCCCAAAAGAGGGAGATGATCCAGCTAGGGAGCTAGCTGTGTAGCTGGAAGAGATGGCTGAACCAAATGTAGCCAAGCGCAACATGCATTCTGTGGATGTGCAAGCCCCTCCCTCTTCATGGCAGCCATTTTGTGAGAACACCGATAACAGGCTCCCTGAATTCCACAAAAGCAAAAAAAAAAAAAAAAAAAGTATCCCTCTGCCTAACAGGAACTTCGAAATACAGTAACAATAAACTGGGTCTGTGCATGTGTGACAGGCATCAATTGTACCCAACCTCTGCCTCGCGTACTCCAATCTCTTCTAGTACAATCCCGTAAAAGAGATTAGTAGGGTTTGCTTCTATTTTTAATTACATAACCACAATTCTTCTTACAACCAACCTTAATCTTAATCATGGTTTTTTGAAAGTATCAATTTAGCAAGGTTTGAAGTTGGCATGTTTCAGCAATTGTGTGTTCTTCAGATAGATCAGATTAAAGTTGTCTTAATTACCAGCCTTTGGTTTTGCTTGGGAATAAGGGGGATTTTAGTTCAATAAATGATTGTGTTGCTTAGTGATGGCAATTCTGGTCTCAATTGCCATCGTAACCTGAGGACTACCTGTCATCATAAATTATTGTTTGCCATTGATTTGTAGTCACTTGTGTCTATTATTTCCTTAGGATAGATTTTCTTGGGAAAAATCAAATAAAAAGCAGCATTCATTTTTATTCTGCCTTTCCTGTCTGCATTTTTATTCTGTTTCACCATGTCTGTTCTCTGATTGTGGGATTTTACTGGTTTGTATTCTTTTTTTTTTTTTCTTCATTGTTTAGCATTAGTCTTTTACCTTATTTTATAGTATCGTTCACTACTTTGGGGAATAATGAATAAATTATAATTTTGTGAAACTGCTTAATCTAAGGAATCAACTAGATGTAGATGTAGAATCCCCTCTTTTATTTACCGAGAGGTAGCAAGGGTGAGTGAAAGCAAATCAGGTATTATGCTGTCTTTTATCTTAGTTGATGTGTTTGCAGTTTCCTACTCCAATATCCTTTAAAATGTTTTGATATAATTGGTTTCATTACCCAATTTTAAGCTTCTGTTTCTTTCTTTGTTTCATGCGGCTGATTTGTAGGATCCTTACTATAGATTTAATGATCTGGTCTATAGATGGATCTCCTTGGATAACTGGACATACAGCAGAACATTCAAAGCTCCTTTTGATATCAGGTATGTGAGAAAACTGAAATTAGGAATACCAAGATGTGGACCACAGGTTTGTATGCATTTATCTCTGAATACAGCACCACACATCTTTGAACAGAAGGATTGCAGACGCAGGTTCTGGTCCATAAGCCAGTCTTATCCATTTCACAGACTTGTTGTAATGATAAAAAATGGGGGTGGGGGGGTGTAGAATTTGTAAAGAAAGGATGTAAATATAACAAAACAATGTTGTGTTTTTTGTTATCTTTTCTGCAGCATGTGGCAAAAAGTGAGTTTGGTTTTTGAGGGGGTAGACACAGTAGCACAGATAGTGGTCAATAACATAACTGTTGGAAAGACGGATAATATGTTCCAGAGATATGTGAGTATTTTTTTTTTTGGTGCTTTGTTAAAGTCAAAGAAACAAAACAAAAATAAATGCATCTCAAATTCAGGATGTTTCAAATGTTACCAACTTATTAATTCTATATAGTTTAAATTAAATTAATAAGGTAGTAATTACCAATGCAGTATGTAATATATTACAGTTGTCCTAAAGAGGTTTCTGTAACTGAGAAAAGAATATGTGGATTTGATGTGCTTTGCCTCTTCAGATCCCAATATGAACTGTGGCTGGTGCTTTGCAGTGAGAGATCCTGCACATTTGCTTATAACTCTGTAGCACTTTTTCATGATTTATCTGAACAGCTGTGGCAGGTAAAATCACTTTCCAAAAAACAATCATTTGATAAACAATAAGGTTCAAGGATCATTGATTTTTGACAATGAGAATCAAATTAGTGGCTGGGCTCTCATACCACATCAAACCTTTGTTGGCTGAAGCATGTTTTATTGATTAAATCACAATGGTTGGTTTCATCAAGCCCAAATCAGGTGGACTATATGATAGGACTGTAGTATGCTTTGGATCCAAAGGCCAAACTTTTCTTTTCCTGAGATCACATTGCAGTTGTTGAAGGCAGCTGCACAAAAGGAATTGTGGACACATACTGTGTGTCAAGTACTTTGTTTGCTTGAAGCACCATTTTGCCTTGAACTCAAAACATAGCATGGCTCTGCTGAATTATTGCTTGGCATGTTGTGTGAACCAGGCCAACAAATTTAGAGCAGTGTTTTTCTAACTTGGCAACTTTAAGATGTGTGGACTTCAACTCCCAGAATTCCCCAGCCAGCATGCTTCCCCAGCAGTTGCCAAGTTTGAAGAACACTGATTTAGAGGTATAGAATGAGATGGTTGCCTGGGTGTCAACAGAATGCCCAAGGAGGGAGCTTTTTGTCTCTTAGCGTGAGAGACTCAATGCAAGGAAACCCTCTTACTTGTGTAGTGCCTCAGAATGGAAAAAAAAAAAAGCAGAAAGTACCTCCCCTTATTATACCTGCCCCTTTTGTGTCTGCTTCTTTTCCTAATCTTTGCATGCCTGCTGAGTGGTTGGGAGAGAAAAGCAGCTCTTTGGGGAACATTAAAAACAAACCCCCCAAAAACTGGGAAACTCCTGTTTTCTTACCCTCTCCGTGCCACAAACATAGAATAGAATACCTAGGGCTTTTCTTGAAGCTTGAATATCTCTCAGAGACATGGGATGGAACTGGTAGTGGTGCTTGATGTAGTCTTCATTAGTAAGTCAGAATGATATTTATGGATGTTTGTGGTTGGTTCTAGGCTGGGATAAAGGTCTTGTAAATGTCTTGGGTCAGAAGAGGACAACTTTTTTTTCTGTTGTATTAGTTGGTGATAAAGATGGGGGCGTATTTATGTGTCATCCGCTTTGTCTACATAGAAAGCTCTAGTGTTCAGGCTGCAAAATTATTAGTTGCAAAGGGCTGGTAGATTGGACCTTTTTCTGCCCATCTTTATCTTTTAATACTTTCCTAGTCTATATATGAGCAGGAGTTCTTCTCTCTTCTTCTTCCTTTAGAAGGTTTCTGGTGGAGATGGTCCAAAATAAATCAGCATGGGCAGTTATGGGCATGCTGCCTCATGAGCTGCACTGGTTACCAGTAAGCTTCTGGGTGCAATTCACGGTGTGGGTTATCACCCATAAAGTCCTTCATGGCATAGGATTTGGATATTTGAGGGACTGTTTGTCTTTCATAACTTCTGCCTGTCCTATACAACTGAGCATACCCCAGGCCATCCATTCGACATTGTCACCTGATAGGACTCAGAAAGTGGGCCTTCTCTCTGGCCTCTGGAATGATGTCCCCTGCATAGATCTGTACAATCCCTACCCTGACCATATTTAAACAAGCCCTTGAAACCTGGCCTCAGGCTAGAATGGTTTATGCATTAAAATAAAATAATGAAAATAAAGCTTTCTTTTTTTCCCCATCCAAATTCATGGAGCCCCTGAAATCCAGCCACAGACCCTGAGGAGTCCATGGACTCCAGGTTAAGAGCCTCTGAATTAAAGGAACTATATAAGTTTAACCCAAAGAAGAAAAGGCTAAGAGGAGATGTGATATCAGTTTTCCAATATCTGAAGGGCTGTTGTAGAAAAGAGGGTGTGAATTTATTCTCCATAGCTTCTGGAGGTAGGACAAGAACCAACAGGTTGAAGCTTTCAGAGGAAGACCAAAGCTTGAATTATGAAGGAATTTCCTGACCATGAGAGCTAGTAAGTGAAGGACCAGTCTGCCTCATGAAGTTGTGGGTGCTCCATCACTGAAGATTATCAAGCAAATGGTTGTCCAACCATTTGTCTGGGGTGGTCTAAGGATTCTTGTCCTGGACAAGGGGTTGAACTAGAAGACTTCCATGGTCCCTTCTAATCCTATTATTCTATACATTGAAAAATTCCTCAAAGAATTCAGAATTGCTGCAATCCCATAAGTCTTTAGGGATGGACCACTGTAATTGGTTCCCCACTTGTGTAGAGGTGGGTGGTAGTCAACCTATTTGTATTTAGAAGTGATATGACCACGGAAACAGAGAAACACACACACCTCTAGCCATTGATTTTCTATCTAACTGCTCAGAAGCAAAAATTAAGATGACTATTTGGCCTGCAAAGTATTTTGGGCTTCTGATGTACTGAGACAGCCCCATGGTGGTTGTATGGAACATGAAGTCCTGAACTGGTCAGTATGAGTCCCCAGCATGAACACTGAAGCCAGGACAGGAGGGATGGCACCCCAACACCACACTAGAGATTATCTCTACCAGTTCAGACAGAAAGGCTGTTGGGCAACAACGTGGATAGTATTCCGATAGTACCCCTGTTCTGTCCCTTCAACCCAGCATGAAATACAGACCATTATATCCAGATTGCAAAATGAGTGATTTCCTGGCGATAGGAATGGAATTCCTGTGGATGAGTGCAACTCCACAAACACACCCAACCCATTGATCTATCTTTATGCTGTATTTGGGTGGACTTTATTGGTTAAATATGGGCCGCTTAGCTTTCTCATCCAAGTCTCTATGATACAAACCAGATTAGCCTGTTCATCCACACTGACATCATAGATCATAAATCATAGAGTTAGAAGGGACCTAAGAGGTAATTAAGTCCAACCCTGTGCACGCTGCAGAATTCATTATAACTCCTCCCCCCCGATTGAGGACTATCCAGATGTTTTATTGCAAACTAATCTGATGTCCAACAACAACATCATGAAATGGGTAAGCCAACTAATATGACTATCTGGATCACCAATAAGATGGTGTAATCCAGAACTAGGAACACAGCTCTAAGATGCTGTATCTCTTGTGTTTGGAAAGTATTCTAAGAGGGTAGAAATGGGAGCACAAGGCATCTAGTGAGGCAAAAAACCTCTCATTCCTTAAACCACCTCTGCCAGAAAGCCTCAGCATTGCTTGAAAAGCACCTCTTCTGATGACATCACTGCAAGGTACTGACCAACAAGCAGGTCATGAAGCTGTTGTTGCCCCAGTCAAGAAGTTTGCCATACATGAAGCAGGAGAATCTTGGCCTTGGAGCTTCAGAAAAGTGAATAAATTATGACACAGCAAATCATCAAATCATACATATTTCTTAACAGTACCCACCGAGGTGGTATACCTCTACAAACAAACAAAAGAACCCAAGTGCAGATAACTGAATCATCATACAGTGGATGTTGTGAGCCAGAGTAATGAATTCATTATCTCTATAATCAACCTCTCTCTCTCTTTCTTTTGTGGTCTATTGCTGACATAGAACTTCGATGTTACTGATGTGATCAAGGAGATCAACACAATCCAAGTTCATTTTTTATCTGCTATTTGGTATGCTGCACAACAAAGTAAAATTCACCAAGCATACAGGGTACCTCCAGAATGTCCCCCACCTGTGCAGAAAGGAGAATGCCACGTGAATTTCATCAGAAAGGTAATACTGATATGTGCATGTATGTTGTAATAATGATGATCAGAGAAAATGAATCCTACAATTGTCATTGTTAACTGGACTCCATCCTCTAAATATATCTATTAATAATCTATAATCAAGTGATACTTTTATAGGTCCACCCAAGGTAAAGCAATGGTGACTCCTTTGTTACAGGTAGTCCTTGGTTAATGACTACACTGTTTAGGGACCGTTCAAAGTTACGACACTGCTGAAAAAGTAACCTTATGACCTTTCCTTGCACTTATGACCATTGCAGTGTCCTGGTGGTCATGTGATCGGCATTTGGGCACTTTGCATCCAGCTTCTGACAAGCAGAGTCAATGGAGAAGCTGGCAATAAAATTGCAAGTCGCAGCCACTGATGTCTCGCTTAATGACCGCTGGTGATTTGTTTAATGACCATGTAGCTTAGCAACAGAGTTGCCGGTGCCAATTGTGGTAGTTAAGCAAGGACTACCTGTATTTTAGTTGATTGTAGTTATAGTATTGCCCAACTCTGGATTTTAGATATGACTATGATTGCTTTTTAGAAATAGGTAAAAAGTAAAAGACAGAATTACGTGCATTAGATTATGACAGGAAATATATTTGCAGAATTCATGATGTAGCTGATAGACTTAGATGTTTTTAATTTCCTTTTCTAATATTCTATATAGTTAACATTAAAATGTTTTATTTTCCTTTATTCAAGGATTAGTCTTACAATATATAAGACATTTTATTGAGACATGTTAATTTTAATGGAGAATTTCAATAACATGGGGGGGGGGAATGAAAAGATAATTTATTTAGCACCAATGACAACAAAGTAATATTAATAGTTAGAGAACAAGAGAGCTCATATAACCTGTACTAGCGAAAGCCCATTGTACACTGTTCCTAGCTGGTGTGATTGAAATAGAATGGATTTAAAAATTCAGCCAACTCCCATTCATTTCATGGATGGTGCTTTATGACTGAATCCAGCCAGAGAATTTCAACAGTGAGAAAAGATGCAAGCGGACTCTGAGATGTGCCAGAATACATTGGCAAACTTGTAAGAATCTTAGCCAGGCAGCTTTGTATGCATTTGCTGTTCCCCATATACCAAGCTACTTATGTTCTGCAATGTGCCCTGTCAGTTTCTGGGAAGTGTTAGCTAATAAGAAGCCAGATCTTATCAACCAGCTGTAAAAGGGTGGTGGGATCTGTTTGAGGATTATTAGAGGATAGCTCCCAACAGCTTTTATTCGCAACAATCATAATGGCTAGAAATTTATTAAAAAGGACCAGTGAACCTTGTTTCTGTAAATATCAGACAGAACAATCCTCTGCATGTTTATCTGGATATAAGTCCCACTACGTCCAAAGTGACCTACTCCTTAATATGTATATTTAGGTTTGAGGCCCTAGAGTAAAAAAGATGCTTCCGCTATTGTCAATCTGATGTGCTTTAAATACTGCAACTAAGATAACTCACTAGCTTGGTACCTTTTTTGGTCTCTTGATTAAAAAAAATGACTTTATCAAACACAGACAGAAGAGCACAGTGTAATTAAAAACATAATAGAAATAACTTTGGTTGAATTTGGATGTGGCGTTTGTGATTGGATTGGATAGATGAAGTAAGCTGTGAAGAAACAGCTATTGTGGTTAACCATAACCAGTTAAAATGTAAGGGGTCATCTTTCTGCCCTAGAATCTATGGCTTCTCCCAGGCTGGGAGGGAGGACAAGAAGAACTTTAACAGCTGTCCTCATATTTTTAGTAGAGAAGATGAGGGTGGCTTTTGCAAAGGCTTATGGTGTTATGAGAGATACTTATTGAAAAAAGTTTTTCTTTCTTGAAGAAACTACGCAGTTAAGGCTGAATATCAGTTATAATGTTTCCTAAAATGAATCTCTTCCCCTTTATTCCCCTCCTGTATTTATATTACGTTCCTTCTGCGAGGAGATTTGTCATGGTACTCATGGAAGTTTGTCCATCATTCAGCTGTAGCCATATGGCATTTGTAATAAAAAAAAAAAAAGGCATGGGCAGCAGGCTGAAGTCTTGGAACAGAGAAGCAACCTGGAGGCTGAGCTTTCCATGTCACCAAAACCTGGTGGAAAGTTGATGTTTTTCAGTTCTCTAACTTGGGTTTATGTTTTATGTTTTAAGGATATGGGCTATGATGGCATAAATGTCTGCTTGGCTTAACATAGCTATTTTGTCTTAAAACAAAAACGAAATAGGCCTAAAGTTTCAGCCTCTGAATTGGGGGTTTTTCTTGGAGCTTTCCCTTAAAGTAATGTTCCCAGCAAGACTGGTTTCCTGTTTGTCTTCCTGGTGTTTTTCTCCCTTTGTGTCATTTTGGACAGCTGGTTGATGCTGTAGCTAGGCATGGCCCCATCTGAGTATGTGAAACAGGCAGATATGTGCTGTGAAGGTGGATATCTATGGGCAAAGGATACTCACTGATTAACATGATTTTGAAATGGGACTGCTTCTCTCCACTCTCCCATCATCCTGATACGTTTTGTAAAGAAAGCAGCATGAAAACAGCTGCTGCCTTGTCCTCCTGAGGGCTCCATATGTCTGATTTTAGGAGCTACCAGGTACTTTTGAAATGTTATGGGTGGGGTTCAGAGGTATGCATGGACCAGTTGTGTGAATCCTTAAAAAATTTCTGCTCTTTACATTTAACTCAGGAATAGGCATATGCATCAATGGCCTAGTCCTCATGGCCAGTTTTTTGTGGCTTTCAGGACCACAAGCTTCAGTTCATCTGGGATCAGCAGCACGGTTCTCATAGGCACCAAGGCATCTCTCATCCCAATAGACGATGGCCACTGACCTCCATTTCTTTAAAAAAGCAATGCATATACACCCACAGATATATATAGACAGAGAGACAGAGACAGAGAATTAGAAGTAGCCCAAGTACTATGTGCTCCCACCTGAGAACTCAGATCTTTCAAGATTTGGCACTCTCTCAAGATTTCAGTCATTTTCACTGATTAAAGGTGACAGATACTTTTAAATATGTATGAATTTAATGTTTATATTTGGGCACCCTCACCGTTGCACAAAACTGTGCAGTGCCTTTTGCCACTTGAAAAGATTCCTGACCCCTGCAGTATATAAATTGTATTACAGCATCTTTCATGCATGGATTAGTATTTGGTTACCCAGAATGGCATTGTTCAGAAGGGTGAACTGAGTTCAAAGAGACTAAAAAAAAAATCCTTGTTGAAGCAACCTGTGGCATACTGGTAACACTGAAGAAAAATGGCATGGTTGCATGTATGCTTGGCAGGCCAGTTCAGTAGCAAGTGTCAGTAGCTTGAATGACAACACTTTGGCTACATGGAGGTAGTTGTTAACCACCATTGCACAGGCAGTCTGCAAACCAGACCTGCCCTGTGGATTATTTCTCTTCTGTGCTCCACTATTATACATTGACATTTGTAACAGTGTGCATAAGTAAGTGAGGAAATTAATCTGAAGATGTTACCTAGCAGGGTAATGAAACATTTGCAAGAAAAGAACCAAGCTCAGAGAACCCCAAGGACTCCACAATTAATCCTTTATTAAAAATAAGTAAGCTTAAACTTTAAGTTGGTAGAGCAGGAATATGGGAAGCAAAATGAGGTGCAGTTCCAGCATAGTGAGTTTACATTAAATGTCTACACTTTTCTTCTAATGAGCAAATTTCATTTTTAAATAAAATTTAGTGTTTTAAAATGATTCTATAGCACATGAAAGCTTAATTCATGGCTTTATTTTTGATGTTTTATATCTGCCTATGGGGATTCTGTTGCCCAAGTGGAGAGTAGTTCAGAGTAGCTGTCACATGCAGACTTGAGATTTAGAAGCGTGTGAATCCAGTCTGAAGCTATTTCCCTTGCCGTATTCTGACCAGCTGCTTGTATAGATTTGAAACTCAACATTTGCATCATAGCAGCAGTCAAGCTGAAAGGTAATTGGTGTGGGGATGGAGAAATTCTGTTCTAAGAAATGGTTATTTCCAGGGTTATAAACTAGAAATAGGCACAATGCCTGCTTCTCACTATTTGTAACTTGATCTACTAGCAGGCAAGCCGGTTCCTGGGATGTAGGGAACAAGTGAGGCAAGTGCAGTGTGTGTTGCCAAAATTAGAATGGTTCAGCTACCAGTTATTAGGGTTATAAATTTAGATCGGTAGGTCACAGTGCAAAACTTCAGCAAGATCTCTCGTATGCCCAGCAGAGGGAATTATGAGGCCACATTGTGGTGCCTTCCAGGGAGTGGTCAATAACATGTTTTGCCCTGAATATTTTGACATGACCTGAACCTCACATCCACAGTGGAATCATCTGTTGTTTGCATAAGTTTGCAAATGATTTCTATTGACTTATGTAAAGTTAATGGGAAGCAGCACAGCTGTTAAATTTTGGGGCTACGTAGATAATCTGATTCTGGATGTCTCATTCTTGGATTACTGAGTTATATTAAAGCTACATTGCCTAGTTTTGGAAGCTAGACCCACGAGGATGGGGTTCTGTTAAAAAATGAGAATTGATAGGTAGGGACCAAAGTCTTTTCTGCCTGGTTGGCTTCTCAACATTTTTTTTTTTTTTTTTTTTATGGCAACTGATGATCGTGTGGACCTCCAAATGTTGTTCCAGCAGCATGGTGAAGCTGCAGAAAATACTATCTTAAAGGGTTTTTTCTTGGGTAGAAGTCTGCAATTGTCTTAGATCCCAGGCCCCATTGTGTGATCTTGCCTCTTTCCCCACAAAAATTTTGTGAGATTTTGACAATTGTAAGGGAGAACCCCAGGAGAACCTTTCAGGGGCCTGGCATAAGCTACATTGCCAATCCCTGCTATAGTACAGTGCTTTTCTCTGTGGGACCTGAAATTAAGGAACCATGGATTCAAGAATAAAAGTCCCTAATGCTGCTGTTCTAGCTGCTCTTTTTCTTTTACATGGTAACATGTAAATTTGCCATAATCCTGAAATGGAATAGGCTCTGATCCCATAAGCACATAACACACTTTCAAAATAGTCTCATGTGGCAAGTCATGTGAAAGCTTTGTGTACATTGACATGAAGCCTGACAGCATGTGATGAAATATATTTGTGGATGCAGTCGCATACAAAATTCTATAATTTCATCTTGTAGCCTTTTTTGCATGGAAGTGCTACTCCATCGGATGAAAGTTAATGTGTCGAGTAGCCCTGGTACTTCTAAATCGCAGAGAGAGAACTGAATTCTCTCTGAAGCATGTGAATTGTACTGGCCTATATTTGAGGTATAATTGATATTTCTTACTTAGTATTTTTGATCTGAAGTGGTAGTTGTAACCAAATGCATGTTACGAGGGCATGCTACAAATATGGATCTCCCAACGCTCCCTAGCCTGACTCCTACTGGTGTACTGGGAGTGCAGCTTTCAGATCATGGAAATTACATACTCGGGGCAAGTTAGAGGCTGGCAGATATTCTGTACTGCAGAGACAGTAACTGAAATAGAACGCTCTATTAAGTCTTTATCCCACTGACTTTATTTTGGCCCCCATTATGGACTACAATCCAGTTATTTTCAGTTCTAAAACGGGGAACGTCAACCAAAATAAATGCCCAGAAAAGGAGAAGATTAAAGAGAAAAGCAAGCTGAAAAGTAAAACAGTCCCCAAAACTCCAGAAAATGCCTCCACCTTCAGTTCTGCTGCATCAGGTGGTCATTGCATTATACCTCAATCCTGCGACTCTCAGATGTCTTTAAAAAAATGCAGCCGCCCTTGTGGATGTTGCAGAATCTGCTGCTTTCCTCTTGCGGATGATAATTGCGCAGCTCACTCTGTATTTTGTCTAATCTATTTCAGGAGCAGTGTTCATTTAGCTGGGATTGGGGCCCCTCTTTCCCCACTCAGGGAATTTGGAAGGATGTTAGAATTGAAGCATATAGTCTTTATCATCTTGTCTACTTCTCTGTGATTCCTGTCTATGGTAAGTCTTGCTATCTTAACTCTTGATTGAATGTGGGAATAGATGACCATTTAATACTTTAAAATTGAAGACAACTAATGGCTCTGGTTTTTCTTGTTACTAAAACAATGACTGAATATAACCCCCTGTGGCAATAGTTATGAGTGACAAATAAACATTAAGTTTTTCTCTAGCCAGCCTAGAATCCTTTCCGTCTAGTTCACTTCTACTGTTGACTTCCCATCATTTTTCTCCTTGATTCCTTGTATTTCTAGACATGAAGAAAGCCAATGCTTTTAGCCATCTCTCTTCAGTTGTGCCCTTACCTCTTTTTTAAGAAATTGCACTCTTCAATAAATTGATTTTATGAAGGGTTTCCAGTAGTTACTGTTGGGTAATTCTTTAACTTCACATTGGTTTAGATTCAGAAATTGTACTATATCAGGAACTTTGTATATTGGCTGTTCTCCTTGTTTTCACTTACATCCTTCTTGCTCTCCCCATATTAACTGCTATCACTACATTTTGTCTCCAGCTTGTCCACTAGGGACCTTCTGTCATATTACTTCCTCTGCTTAGAACAGATATTGCCTTTCTTTCTCTGCTTGTCAGCTCATTGCCTGATCCTCCTGGAAGTCCCTTTTCTTGGCCCAGCATGTTCTATGAAGGCTTTCCTGAATAAAGGCTTATGATGAAAGTGTGTTAAGCTGGATACAATGGTTACCCAAAGCGCAAGGCCAGCATGAATCAGCTCTTAATGTATCTAGAATCAGCTGCAAAAATGAAGTATTAATATACATAACCAGGAAGGAGTAATCTTTAATCCAGAGTACTGAATTGGAAACTAAATGATTTTTATAGGTGCCCCCAGTATCTAAATGAGGTTCTAGGAATGAAAACAGGGTTCCTACACTAAACATTGGAAAGAGTTATACTTCTGGTAGACTGGCTAGCACTCTTTCCATCTGACTTTTTTTTAATTATTATTCTTACTATTACTACTTTAAAATAGAGAAATTAGAAATTATAAAGTTGCAAAGCAAAGTGCCAGTCCCTAGACTTTGCGGTGTTCTCTGAAAACAAATAAGGTAGTGGCTACAACCTGAGCTTTGTCTGAAAGTTGTCTATCTGCCTAGAAAAAAGATCAAGATAAGGTGGTAGTTGATCAGGAGAAGAACAGCAAGGAACAACCTCACCAGTTGGCCTTCTGGATTTGCCCACCAAAGTAACCATTTTGTGAGCAGGCAAGTTCTCTTCTTGTGGTGGTCTTTTTGTGGCAACATCTGTAACTTGTTCTCAGAATCCTAGAATGTTTTTCACTGGTCACATTGCTGTAAGTAGGGCTGGCAAAGGTTTCTCTTTGAAAGTCTGGGCAGAACTGTTGGATGTAACTGAGCTAGGTGAACTGATAGACATAAATTCAGTTTAAGGCAGTTTATTAAAGCAAAATTAGAGATGATTCTAGAATAATATCCCTGGGGAAGTATTTGGGGCTCCAGCTTCCCACTAGCTTATATGTTTTACTCTTTTTTTTTGGTAGACCTTAGTTATTTATAGTAGCGGGTAATATTGCCTTAAAATAGAAATACAAAATATGATGCAGGGAGGGGCAGAGAGAAGGCATTAGTTCATAATAATAGTAACAATAAATAATTTTACATAAAAATGCTTAAAAGTACTTTGAAGATATTTTTTCTTTTTTTATTGTGTCTGAAAAAGGAGCCATGTTCCATGGGAATTTTATATAGAATAAGCGCTAGGTTAGAAATAAAAACAAATTAAAACTAGGTGGGTTTTGAAAGGCAGGATGGTTAATATCCAAGCATGTAGAAAAAGGCTAAACTTCTTTTTTCCAGCTTCACTAACTCTGGGTAGTCCATCGCTTGGTACTGCCCTCAATTTGACACTCATGGTGACCTCTTAGATCACCCATTCTTGAGCTGGTGGAGCAGTCTTAATTTAGCTGTGTCCTAGGCCTTTGAGAGAAGAGAGGACAGATTAGAGGATAACTTGCTGTGTATCTTGCATGGTTTTTTGTGCTGATATGTGTGATGTTCAGCCTGTGCCTTTCTTAAACAGGAGCTGCTGAAACTGTAGACCATCATTCTGAATCTCTGGATTTTTCCCCAGTGTTGATTTCCAACAGTTTATAGTGTAAGCAAAGGTGTGAGGGTAGTTTATCTTCAATATGATCAGGCTTCCTGTTCTGCCCTTGTCCAGAGCCACCAAGTTGCTTCCTGTCACTGATGGCCACTTCTTTGTTGTTTGGCTTACACTGAGTTGACTAAAGTGAAGAACAAGTAGATTTTCTGTAATGTGAGACATCTTAAAAATATCTCATAATCGCCATTCAATTCAGAGAGCTGATAAGGACTGCTTCCCATTCCTAAGCTATCTGATGAAGTACTGTTTGAAGATATTTGTAATTTCCCACCCTTATTTGGAGGTAGCATCTGCATGCAAAATATAATATCTGTTACTGAACTCCAACTCTGCCATTGCATTAGGCCATACGTTTAATGTGCAGCTTTAATAATACGTTTCAAGGTTGTAGAACCTAAATACATGAGGTGTTCTGAACTCTCAGGCAAGAGCCACTGTGTACATGTGAAGGGCATCCTGCAGCACAAATGAAGCAATGTTGTCCTACCAACTCCTGTGTGAAAATTCAGGATGTGTGTAAATATTAACTACTGGTAGAACACCCACCCACTTTGGCCCTATATATGGATGATACAAGAAAGAAATAAGCTTTTAAAGCCTCTGGAAATAGCTTGCACTTGAAACACAGAGCTGTTGTACTTTAAAAGAATGCTTCCCACACTTACTGATTCATAGGGTTTGCCTATTGTATGCTAAAGAGGTGATTAGCAAAGCTTTAGCAAGAGACAGTTTATTCTGGCATATCAAGACAGGCTGAACTCTTGGACAGGGAATACTCTATGAATGAATGAATTGAACTGGAAAACTTTTTTAGATGCTGCAGGGACCTTTTCTTACTAGTTATCAGCATATTGATGAGTCCAGCACACTTGAGTGACCAAGAGAAACCACCATAAGCCCCATCAGATTCAGACACAATGGATTCGATTCATTCTCCTCCAGCATAATTTCACTCACTTCGCAGCCTTGCAGCACAGAAGTTTTCACACATTTTTCTTGAAAGCAGCATTTGTTTGCTCTGCTGAAGCGATTGTGCTGTCCAAAAGTTAAGATCTTTCCCCAAAATAGAGCAACTATAACAGATGGGGGAAGTGTACCAATAGTCTGTGTCATTAATTACAGCTGGTGCCAGGCAGGGAAAAAACCTTGCATTTTTATTACCTGCACTCATCCAGTTTTGACACATCTTTTAAAGGAGAAAAAAATACCTGAGAAATTCTCTTGGTGAAATGCAATACTTTTACACGTACTTAGTGGTGAGGTGGCCAAGAGGAGTAAATGAATATCCTCTGTTTCATTGCAAATAATCTCTCCAACAGGCTACTGGTTGCTGGTTCTCAGGCACCTCCATGGCAATGCGATTGTCACTCCAAAGTGGGAGCCTCACTCTTGAAGAATTGTTGGAGATTTTCTTCTTTCCTTGGAGAAATCCTCCATTCAATTGCAAATTAGGTAGAGAATTTTAAAAGGCTGTTTCTGTGCAGCTATAATTATAATAGTCTTGATGCAGCATTTATTTTCTGTGTGTCAATCTACTATTACTGGTCAATGGATGAACATCTTGGTGTATGTATCCAATTTTCCAATGCTTGTTTGAAGAGGGAAGTCAGTGGCAGTGGCCAAAGTTTCTGTTCTGTTACGTTGGCGTGTGGCCATTGATAAACCATCGAAAGGCAAAGTCTGTTCATTAACCACGAAAAAGTAGTGCACCTCTGTTTTATCGTTGTTTATCTGCAGTCTCCATCCCTTGTGAAGTTGGGAATGGGAGTTCATCACACCTAGCGAGTACAAGGTCAGGGAGGGCCATTCTGACTAAAAGGGTATGTAAAAGCATCACACTTCATGTCTCCGAGCAACAACCCTTCTTGTTTTATTTTTGTCCAGAGCGAAACACTCATCAGTGGCATCTTCAGATAGAGTCGGGGTTTGATGTTGTCAGCAAAAAGCCAATTGCTGGATTTGTGGCTGTGAACATTCCTGAGCTGAGGACCCAGGAGGTGTTCACTGTGCAACTTCTTCCTGGAGAAGGCAGTATTGCACTGCTTGTAAATATCAGTAAGGTGAGGACCATATCTGCTGCACGTGGAGAGTTTTCTTCTGCATGGAAATCAATGCACCATGATACATGGGGCATGCTGGAAGACCATGCAGGATTACTAAGGCATAAAAAATGCTAAGTATTTTGTATGTTGGCGAGCACAATGACAAACGTTAACTGATTTTGTATCCCATTTTCAGTGTGATTCTAACCCTTCCTCTGATTTTAAAGTATTAGTTGGGAAAAAACCAGCCCTTTTCCAGTTTGCAAGCTCTTCCTTGTGTGGAAGACATGGTAAACTGTGGCTGGGCTCAGTTTACTGATTATCTCCTTTTTTGGTTTGCATCCCAGCCACCTTTGTAGGGGCTGGCTCTTTTTCAAAGTTTTGGTATAATGGCTGGAAGCAAACAGTAACACTGCAGCGTTCTGATCATTACTGGACCAAGACAGAACCTCTCTGCCCACTTCGTATCCTGATTTCAACTTTCTACCCTCCCAAGGGGAGGGCATGAAAAAAGAGGAAGCAAAAGAATATACTGCAGCTGGAATGGACCCATTTTGCAGCTGTTCCAGCCTCTTGTTATGCCCAGAGGCCAGCCAGAGAAATAAACCACACATAAACCCCTCTATCTCAGTTTGGACAATACATGGCTTCATCTCACTTAAGGTGATTTTCTTTAGTCACAATTTAACCTATGGTTTGGTGGTCAGACTAAGCCTAATTATAAGTAATGATTTCTCATTCCTGGCAGCAAAAAATCTTCATAAAGAGTTGCAGAATAGGAGAAACCAATTTGTTTCTATTCAAGAGAACAGATTTAAAACCATTCAGCAGCATTAGCAGACGAGCCCTGTGATTATAGTAACACAGTGTTGTCCAAACTTGGCCACTTTAAGATGAGTGGACTTCAACTCCCAGAATTCCCCAGCCAGCCATGCTGGCTGGGGAATTC